GCTGCTTCCACCAAGACAGTGCCCACCTCCTCTTGGTGCACAGGAGGAGCTGTAACAACAGGTTTTTGTGCATGGAAAAACACCACCTTTGGTGACACATTTGCAGTCCTGGACAGGCAGTGAGGTCCTTTTCCCTACTTTCTATTTCTCATCCACAAAATGCCTCTGTCCAGGAGGTCCACAAAAGCCCAGCATGTTCCAGAGCTGCTCCAACCACCCTGTGTGACCCTGATCCCAGGAGAGGGGAGAAGGCAGACAGCAGGATGCAATCTGCTCACAGGGAGGGTACCTCTGGCTATGCATGGTTGGCAGATCTGGGGCTGCTCCTATAGTTGGAGAATGCATACCAGCCACCCTTATACAGCCGTACCCTTCCTGGAAAGGAGGCGCTCGTGCCCAGAGCCACCCTAAATATGCACCAAAATGCCAGCGAGCCCTTCTGAAACCCCATGGGAGACTCTGCTCTGGCTGCCAGCTTCACACGGGGGATATGGGCTGCAGGGATGGCCCTTCCCTTAAGGACCAGCCCTGGATAAGGGGTTCCAATGTGGCCGAGCATCCTGGCACAGCACTCCCAAGCATCCGTGGGCGGCACTTTGCGGGGAGAGGAGGGGTTTGGAGCACTTGGCTCCTCTCGCTGCTGCTGCGCATCGGCACCGATCGCGCTGCCATTCCTCCCCCAAAGCTGGGAGTCCTCCTCTCACCCCAGCACGGCAGGGAGGGGGGGGGCTCGTGTCCCCAAGCAGCGAGTGAGGGGGATGAGGTGGGTGCGGGGATGGATGTATTAAGAGGTGGAGAAGGGAACAATGGGGAGCGGTGATGGCAGCAAAAGCGCAGGAGACGGGGAGTAATAAACGGTGAGATAAGGGAGGAGAAATGGAAGAGATCTCCAAAGGGAGAAAGGAAGGGGGAAGGAAAGCAAAGCAGAAAGAAATGAGAAACCCAGAGCTGAGAGATTTCCTCTCTCCCTGTAGTCAGGATTAAGGGTTCTCAATTACTGGCATTGCCTGAGCAAGCTAATTTGTGTCCTGGAGAAGGGGAAAGGCAGCAGGAGGAGGCATGGGTCGATGCTGGAGCTGTGCTGGGTGCTGGGCAGCACGTGTGGGCATGGCTACACGCCGTGGGGCTGCACACGGGCTCCATGAGGACGTGTGATGTCAGTGAGCATGCAGCACCATACGCAGCACTGAGCACGTTCCCTGTGTCACAGCAGGCACATGCACTGGGTGCAAGAAAGGGGAGAAAAAGGATTGAGAGCGGGGAAGCTCGCAGGGAGGAGAGCAGGTCCTGGCTGTTGGGGAAGCCTCCTGGCTCTGCCTCCCACCTCTGCTGCTGGAAGTGCTTCCAGGGACAGGGACACCACTTAAAGGGGCAGCTTGGAGGTGGCAGATTGCCTCTCCCCACTGCTCTCGGGGTATGGATCAGAAGGGGAGCATGGCCGAGCTTTGCTCAATGCACACATCTGCTACACACCAGGGAGCGTCCTGTGTGCTCTGACACAGGCAGTGCACACTGCACACACGACGTGGTACACATGCAGATCCCACTATGCTCACACAGCCTCACGCGCTGGCATCCTCCGTCACTGGCAATGCAGCGAGGAGGCACTGATTCCTTCATCTCAGTGCTAAAGCTGAGTAGAGGTCCCCCAGTGTGGACCCAGGACTCAGTGGCAGCACCACAAAGAGACAATGCTTTCCCTTCCACCATTGCAGCACACGACAGCTCCCCTGCCCAGCGCCGCGCAGTGCTGCAGCTGCCACTGCCTCCCCTGCAATCATCCCTGGGCCAGATCTTCCCTGCAAGCGGGAGGGGAGCATCCATCTCCAGTTCCCTGCTCCTGCCCAGGAATGGATGCTCTGCACTGGATGCTCTGCACTGGATGCTCTGCACTGGACAGAGCAAAGCAAAGAGATAGCAAAGGGAAGCTGAAAAGCGTTGGCCAGGAATCAGCAGGCGAGAGAGAGACGAGGCTGATTTTGATGCAAAGAGTGGCAGAGAAGCAGAGAGAAGCAGGAGAGGGCTGATAGGAAGGTGCTGGGGTTTGGGGGCTCTCTGTAAATGTCTCCTGAGCATATCAGCCTGGAATCAGATTATTTCGACCAGAGCTACAGACTGAGACAGTAATGAAGAAAAACACGGGAAGGGAAGCAGGAGGTTGTGCCTTCCAAGGGGAAAGGAAGAGAGAATTCCCATTGATTCCTGTGTGCCTGCCTGCCTCGGCGTCTTGAAATAATAATTAGAAGGATCAATAAGAAATCATGTGAGGTTTGAAGATAATGAATGAAAGGAGCAGAAGAAGCAAACTGAAATGCCTTTCTCTAAAGCACAGTAAATTGTTTTTCAGGCAGGGTCTAGCCTCCATTTTAATGCTTTGCAAACAGCTCCAACCATTTTCTAAGCTTGCTTGTGGGTTCAAAACAAGACTGGTCTCTCCATTTAGAGGAGAAACACAGGCTGGGAACGGGTCCTGGAGGAGAACACTAATAAAATGAACGAGTGTGGGAAGAAATGGAGGCAATGAAATGGGGCAGAAAGCACACAGCATGCTGGCGACCAGAGAAGGGTTACGTAATAATCTTTGGGAGCGGGGACGTAGCAGCAGAGCGAGGAAACCACAACTCAACGGCAAGCGGGTGCCGGTCCATGAGCCCACGAGGCTGCTTGGTGGCAGCGTGCCCCACACCTGCAGAGTGCAACACCACGGGACACCCTCGATGGTACCAAGGCTCCAGGCAACGGCACTGTAAGCAGCAAGGATGGCAAGTGGGTGCCCCAAATCCATTCTACCTGCTACCTGCCCTGTGCCAGGCAAGACCCAGCCGTGCCCCGTCCCAGCCGTGCCCCAGAGATGCTCTCCAGCGCACAATACCTACGTTAGGTGGGATCGCAGCACTCGGCCTGAGTGATGGAAATAGCCAACCAAAGCAATGATGATGGCCAATCCGAGCGATGATGATGATGGCCAACCCGAGTGATGATGATGATGATGGCCACCGACCGCAACAACGACAGTGTTCACAATCCAATATGCCGGCATCGCCCACCACGGCCCCACTGCTCCTTAGAGGACCCCCCAGCAGCCATCCACCCCACTCCATCCAAAGTGCCAGGGAACCGCAACGTGCTGCCGGCCCGTACCTGCTCGTACCAGTCGCGGCTCGAACACGTGCACTCGGGCCACCAGCCCGGACCACTCCCGTTCACCTTGGGCGCGCTCTTCCCCGGTGGCGGCGGCGGAGGCTTCAATGCAGCGGCATCGCGGGCAGGGGGCCCCAGCTTGGCCTTACCGCGGGCAGCAGGCGCGGCCCCCCCCGGTGCCGGCAGGGTCTGAGAGCCGTAGCCACTGTAGCCGTACTGCTCGTGCTGCCACTCGCCGTAGGAGGGAGGCTCCATGCGCCGCAGGGCCGCCATCCGCGTCACCTCGTAGCACTCGGGGCACTTGCAGCAGTGGTGGTGCTTGTGCATCGCTGCCCTCACACCATAGAGCCGGCAGGGTGGGAGGGAGGGAGGGAGGGAGCGGGAGGCGGCGCGGAGGGATGCGCGCAGGGAGACAGGGAGGGAGGGATGCTCGGGGGGCGGCAGCGGCCCCCGCCCCGCGCCAGGCGCGCCCCCGGCCCCGATAAGCAGGAGGGGTTACGGAGCAGGGAGGCTCCGCGGCGTCGCGCCGCTCACTCCCGGGGCGGTTCAGTCCCTGCGCGGGGCTCCGCTCCGCTCGGCTGCATGGGGCGGCTCGGCACGGTCCGGTTCGGCGCGGTTCAGCCCGGTCCGGCGCGTCGCGGCTCGGGAGCGCGGAGCGCGGCACCTGCGGCGGCGCGGAGCATCCTCCGCCTCTCCCCGCCGCTCCCCGCCAATCTGCGCCGCGGAGCCTCCGCGCACCGCCCCGCACCGCCGCCCCCGGAGCGCCGCCGGGGAAAGGCGGGGGATGAGGGGCAGCGCGGCCGGGGGTTCCCGCAACCGAAGGGCAGTTTCTACTCCGGCAGCAGTGCCAAAACCCGCCCGCAAGACGCCGTGCCGTGCAGCCCCACGGCCTGCTCAGCCCCGCTTCGTGCCCCGCTGCTCCCCAGCACCTCGTGCTTGTGGGAATCCAGAAACCCTTTGCTCAACAGTTCCCTGTCTTGCTTGCAGCTGTCCTCACCCCATCCCCATCCCCTGCTCTGCACACTCAGGTGCATCCCCACATCAGCTCTCATCCCGCTGTGCTCTGTTACTGTGCACTCCTGCACCGCACCCTGAAGTTGCTGCCTGTGAGCCCCTTTTTGGAGTGTAGAAACACCTAGGGCCTTCGCTGGGCCTTCCAACTACTTCTATCAGAGGATGGTAAGAGCAGAGTGTTTGAGGCTGCTGAAATCCTCACTTGTGCAGAAGGGCATCTCAGCGGTTCCACGCTTCTGGCGCAAAAGATCAGAAGGGAGTCACTCTCACAACTCAAAGGGTAGAAAGGAAGACCACTGCAGAAAACCTTATCTGACTCATTAAGGAAAAGCTGAGCCTGGCCTTCTAATTATTAACAGCTGTAATAAGATCCGTGTTGTTCCAGGAGCCCTGAGTCCTCACTGTGTGGTGCAGTCCGTCCTCCCCAGCACTGGCTGCAATTCACTGCCTCTGGGCTGCCCAAGTTGCCTCTGTTACAGCGTGGATGCTACAGTCATATGCTGCTCCTGATGACACGGAGCTGTGACACGTTCACACTGAAATCCCCTGGCTTGAAGCTTAGGACAGCTGTAAGGGGCAAGGGACTGCTATACACAGACCACAGCAAGCCTTGTAGGAATGGGCAGGCGGTCAGCAACTGCTGCCTGAGCATTGAGGGACAAAGTCCATCTTGGCTACCCAGAACCTCTGAGATCTGGGTCACTCCAGCATTAGGGATGTGCCCAGAATGTGCACGCTGCCCTGCTCCTGATGTGGCTCTGTTCACTCAGTCCTGCAGTGAGGACAGGTAAGGACATGGGCTTTCACTTAGAGGAGAGAGTGTGAAAGCAAAGGACGAGACCTGGTAGGGAAAAATGCTTTAATAAGAACTGAAATAAACAATTAAGAGAAGCACTGGCTCTGTTTTTCCTCTAGCAAGTCTATGCCTGCACCTCCTGCTTCCTCCCCCAGCTCACTTATCTATAGGTATCCCATTGCCACATACAGACAGAGGCCCCATACTTCCCTTGAGCCTCACAGAGTCCTCCCCATCTTGCACCTCCCCGCCTGCTTTTCCTGCTTTAGCTCTGTTCTGTCCTTGGTGCGAGGGTTGCTTCATTCCTCCTCATTTATGATGAGCCACACGTGTCATCTGCCAGCCCCAACCAAGAGGATTATAATCCTGGTTGCTGCCTGCACTGCTCCCTGAAGCACCGTGTGGGGCTCAGGATGCGTTACCAGGCTCATGAGGAGGTCGGTGTGGGGCCAAATGCACTTCAAGGAACCCAAGCACTCTCCAACCCGCTCTCCTCTTCCTACCAAAGCCTGCCCGTCTTATTTAAATGTGGCTTTGGCAGCTGCTCTTTTTTTCAGGTGCTAATTTCAGCAAAGCATCAAGAAATCCCAGAGCTGGTGCTATTTACACGGCACGAAGGTGGCGCGGCTTTAGTGGGAGCTGCCGGCATCTCAGCCCCTGCCGTCACTTCCTTCCTCTCACACGAAGTCCTGCGGGAAGAGGAAGGCAAGTGTGAGGGATGGGCACCGACCACTGCAAGGTCAGCGTGAAAGAAGGGATTGGAGCCAGCTCAGAAGGGTTTGGTTCACCTGCAGCTTTCCTAGGAATGGAGGATGCTTGCAGTGTGCTCGGCCCCCAGCGCGACCGCCGCTGCTCCAAAGCCATGCACTAGCTAGAGCATAGGGGTTAATGGAAGGTATCACCCTTGTAACGCTGTGGAGGATGGGATCCTGAGCTCTCAGCGCTCTTGGCACAGTTGCCAAACAAATTAATTCTCCTCCAGGGCAAAACTGTTTTCATTTTATTAATGAGCGCTGATCCACTGCCCAGTGCCACAGTTCCATCTCCTCTCTTGTGGCAGCAACTTCATGAGGCTCTTCGATCAGCATCAAGAGCTGCCTTCCGCAGTTGCAATCGCAGCAAACGAGCTATGAAATATTCCCTGCTTTGCTGATGGTGCTGAGCACCACAGCTTCACGCCGGGGACCAACAGTAGGTCCCCATGGAACAGCCTGAGTTCTCTTTGTGCAGAGGCTCTGTTTAGCAGCAAGCAATTGCAGTGGGCATGGTGCATGGACGCAGCCTCTCTGCTCAGCTCCTGCCCTGAAGCTCACACTCCTGCTCACAGGGCAGAGGGCTTTGGGGTGGTCTGCAATGCATAGCCACAGGGGAATCATATCATGCATTTCAGAGCTAAACTGCAGTTTTAAGCGTCAAAGGCACAGCTGGAAGCCCATAAAAACAGGGAAAAGGCCCTTACCTCGAATTAAATATTAACATGACTCAGTTCTGCACAGGCATGGCAATAAAGCACTGCCACGTCCCATGGGCTCCGGGTGCCCACTTGCATTGTCCCTATAATCAGCGGGTCAGGGCGGTCAGCCATCCAGGGTAGCAGCGTTCTGTTGTACGTGGGGACCCAGCGGTGACCAGAACCAGCCCCGATGAACGGCAGGTGGTCGACCGCCCCGGCTCGGCCCTACATTTCTGCACCGCCGCGTCCCCTTTAAGGGAGCGAGTGCAGCTCGGAGTTTCTGAATGGCTGTCCCCGCCCCCCGCCCGCCTGCCCGCCGCTCAGCCAATCAGCGGCCGTGCCGCAGGGCCGCAGCCGGCTCATGGGCCTCTCTTAAAGGCGCAGTGTCTCTTTTAAACTCTTCCCCTCCGTCGCCTGCACGCAAAGAGCAGAAAGGAGTGTTTAGGAAGCCCTGAGGTGACCTTGAAACGTGCGCCCACGCGTGGGGCAGACAGAAGGTGCAGCTCAGGCTGACAGAGGCACAGACGCACTGACAGACAGCCGTGTGTCAGCACTGACCCACCTGGCACAAGCCCGGGGTGACAGGTGACTCTCCCCACCTGCAGGCTGGGACACAGCAGCTCAGGTCCCAGGGTCTGGCTGTTGTGGGAGGCTCATGGATGTGTGACAGCAGAGAACTGGGACAGAGGCTCTATTGCCACACTCTTGCACCAAACCAGCCCCACGAACACACTCCTACAGCTCCAAAAAGGCACAAAACCTCCCTGTAAAAACACCTTGAGAGAGCTTACAAAACACGCCCCTGCATGCATGGGACACAGCAACATGGCACGCAGGGACCTGATGGCATCAGTGATGATGCCGGCTCAGGAGCAGGCTGTGCCTCCCTAGCACCTCAGTGCATCCTCCCCTTGGCTGCTTTATGCAAACTCTCCTGCATGTGATCTGCAGGAACCTGGCTGCGAAGTGACCCAGTCTGAAAATGACCCTGAAAGGGGAAGAGACATGTGGCAGGACATGGCTGTGACGCTGGCAGAGCTGAGTCCAGCTCCGGGTATGCACAGGTGGGTGCCTGATGGTGAGGCTGGACACAATGCTCTGTATGCCAGTGCTGCGGGCACCAGAATGCCTGAGCTGTGCCAGCCCTGAGAGCTATCTAGGCCACAGAGCACAGGGGTCCTTTGCCTGAATCTCAATGCTTGGAACGATTTCTTAGGTGCAAAGCCAGCAAAGTTCTTGCACGATGCTGAATGCTTGCAGGCTGCGTGGTTACAACGGGTGCTGGAGTGAATCCGTGCATCCCTGCAGCAGGGCTCTGGGTTGGCCTGAAACCATTGCTGCAGCCACGTGTGGTGCAACCACTTTGGAGCAGGCAGAGCAGTGCAAGAGGCAGCAGCACGTAGCAGAAAGCCTTAAAACAGGGTCACACTCAGATTCACAAAAGGGACAATTCCCAAACCTGCACTCATCCACTGCCCTCATTCCCCTGCAGATTCCCCTATCTCCTACAAAAGCCACAGATAATGGACCTCTCAGCACAGCTCAGAGCTTATCCTCCAAATCCCAAAGACTAAAAACCCTCCTGAGCAGTTATCACGGCTGCTCTATTTATAACAGCACTGGTGATGCCTCTTTCACCACCATTCTGATTCCATCCTTCCCGACACCATTAAGATGCAGAAACGTTTGGAAGGCTCCAGCTAGGAAGCAGCTGGCCTACCAGGCTCTGCCTTCCAGCCCAGTTTGTTCCTTTGACAAAATGGAGAGGGGAGCCCATTTGCTTTGCAGAAACACACCTGATTTATAATCGGCCTCCAGAGACCAGCATCAAAGGTACTTCAGTCCCCATCCTGCTCAGGTGGTCTCAGCTCCTGCTTTCAGAGCTAAGCCCTGGGAAAGCTTGAATCTCAATGCTTACATAATGCCCCCTGCTCTGAGGAGGTCAATGAAGCACGGATCTGGAAAGATGGACTCAGAGAGCAGCTGAGTGATGAAAGCATAGCTGTCTATGGGGCAACCCCAGCACTGCACGCGCTCGTACTATTACCAAACAAAATAACTGCCAAACAGCAACGATGACTTGAATGAATGGACAGACCAACAGCCCCATCCCCAGCAGAACCCTCCTGTGCTGCATAGCCAGAAAAGCCTTACAGCCTGCTGTGGATCTTCCTTTTGCCACTGGTTTTAGACAGAAAGTCCCTGAATAGAGCAGGAACAGATGGCTCCACGTGATCTGTGTTTGACAGGCTGGTGGCTCCATCAAATTCATCCTTTGCTAAAGCTGTACATCGAGCTGGGAGAACTGAAGTCTAAGCATCTCCTTGTTCATCTCTGCAGCAAGAATAGCAAGAGCCTCTAGTAAAGCTGAAGCCATTCAACCCCAAAACGTCCACCGAAGTGACAGCTCTCCCTGACACAGCCCATGCTGAAATCCCCTTTTCACAGCAGCATCCTCCAGACGCGGGCAGCGGCTGCCCAGCTGGGTGTCTGTGCTGCAAGGGCTGATGTGCATGGCTGAGTGACAGCAGACGGATGGACAGACAGATGGACATCCTCAGTGCTTTGGCATTCGAGGGGAAGCAGACAAGCCTGGTGGTGCTGACGGGGCAGCCCCCGAGCTGGGGGTCAGGGCAGAAACGTGCATCTTCTTCAGCACTGACAGCAGCAGGGAGGGAGTTCCTGAGAGCCTGCATGGCTAGGCCACGTCCTCCCTGCGATGGCAGGAAGGGGACATTTTTGGCCTTTGCCAAAACAGCCTCCAGCTGGCACACGGGGGCACACTCCCATGCGCCCACGGCTAGGTGAGAGGCAGCACCTCTGCGGGCAAGGTTTCCCATCCACCGGCAATGCAGAAGCACACGAGGCACAACCGCTTGCTGAAGCAGCTCCTCCTTCACTCTGAGAGCTGCTGGCACTCAGCATCGCCTGTTGGGATCGGCATCGCCGTGCGGGGAGGGACGCGCAGGGCAGGCTGCGGTGGCACGGTGACAGAGATGAAGTCAGAGCGGCTCCGTGAGGGGCCGAGCAGCGCTCCCTCGCAGGCGCAGCGTTTCTGCTCATCAACGGTATTGTTCCTCCTGCATTCATCGCTCCAGCTGGCTGCTCTCTGCTCCCCGAGCCGGGAGAGGGGGGTGGGAGGGTGAGGATGATGCTTTCAAAGAGACGAAGCCTTCCTGCCACCCCCTGGGCGCAGGCGAGCAGCGCTGCAGGAACAGCCTCGGGTTCCCCGCACTGAAGCCCCAAAAACTAAAGCAGAGAAAGGCTGACGCGGAGGATTTGGCTGATAAAACCCCACAGAGCGTGCAGGATTGTGCATCCACGGGGTGTTGCAACTATCTGCATCCCTCTGTGGGCTGAACATCGCTTTCATGGAGGGATGGATTCCATGGAGGGACGGCTTCAGCCTCCGAAGCACACCGACGTTGTGTGTGCCGGTCCTGCTTCCTGAGCAGCAGCCATTTGCACGGCACGGGGCTGCTCGGAGTGCACGGAGCTGTGCCAGCAGACAGAACATTTCCTGTTCCTGGAAGCATTGGTGCAGACAGGCCATTCGTTTCTCGTGCGCCTTCCTGACTAAGGCAGGTTACAGTCACTTCCACTCTGCCATTACCACTGCAGGCAGGGGAGAGGCTGGAGCCAGGACAACAGAAAACTTATTTACAATGATGGATGCAGTAAGAGAAGCAGGCAAGACATGCCAGCTTGTCTCCTTGCCTCTTCTCAGCTGTGAGATATCCACTGAAGCCCTTGCTCGTGGGCTGATAGCACAAGGGATGCAGCTGCTCTGCCCTGCCTTGGCGCCCAAGTGCCCTATTATCATTGATTATAATCTATTATAAAAGCTTCCTCCATTCTTCTAAGTGCCATTTGCAACTCAAGTGCTTTAGAAATACAGCACCAAAAGCCAGGAACAAGAAGCCACCAAATAGCTGGGCAGGAGTTGGGTGTGGAGGGTCATCCAGTCCCATGACATCCTGCATACAGGGATGCAGGACAAAGCGGGTCTTCAGCAATAATGATGATGTTCAGATGAGGACAGCTGAGGGATGGGGCTCATCTCCATGGCCAACCCTTCACCTCCCAGCTTGGGATGTTTTCAGTTCGGTTGTGCCTTTGGAGAGGAGCAGCTCCGAGCCTGCACTGCTCCAAGCTTCCTGCACTGCTTGGTCCCTGTGCCCACAAGAGCTGCCCCATGGACAGAAGAGCCCCAAGCACGACCAAGCACTGCACAGCAACATCCCAAAGGTCTTCCCTCCAGGCCCCTGCTCTGCATCCATCCAGGTTGGAAAAAGGAAAAAGTGTGGGTGTGAGTGCTCTGGCTGAAGGCGCCCATCACCCCAACCTGACCCCAGACAAGGAGGAGGTTGAAAAGAAAAGGAATACTTCAGAAAAGAATGACAGGAACGATTTCAGGGCTGGAACAACACTGAGCGAGTGAGGAAGCCAATCTGTTTAGTTTATCTAAGGGAAAGTTAAGAGGGAACACAGACGCATCTATAAATACCGACATGTTGGGAACAGTTCTGATTGCTGTGGCCCTTTATCCTGGCAAACAAAGGCAGCAAAACCTCCTGGGGCTGGGAGCTAAAGAGAGAGGAATCCAGGCTAGCAGTAAAGTGCACATTTTTAATGGAAAGGATAAATAACCATCAGGAGAGCCAGATTATCACACAGCAGATTCCCCACCATGTCTCAAAATCAAGGGGAGGTGTCTGCATCTCAGCCAGGTGTGTGAGGCTGAATGCTGTGCTTGTAGATTCTTGCCCCACATCCAGGAGTGCAGCCCAGGGACACCAGGGTGGAACACAAAGAGGAAGGCTCCATTTGAAATCCCAGTGGATGAAGTAATAAAAACAGGTGAATTGCCAGCATGTGCAAAGTTTTTACTGCTGAGACCACCACCAAGGGCGGGCTGATTGCAGACTGCACCTCTTGTCTCCATTTAATCACAGTCCCCAATATTCCAGCACTGATAAGGATTTGGTGAGTGTTTGAAGACGCAGAGAGGAGGGAGAGGAAAAGGAGAAATTCAACAGTAAGGAAAAAAAAATGGGGCATCACCCATTTTATTGCAGTCTAAAGTGAGAAGGGAAACATTTAAAACGGGAAGAAAAGCAGCAGTGTGATTTTCACATTTAAAATAATTTGGAAGAAGAATCCAAGCTAGCAAACAAGGACTGATTAAAGCTGTGCCAAGAAAAACAAAGCCTTCGTGTTATTTTACGTCTGGTGAGCTCCATCCATCACAGCCACTCCATCCCTCCCTAAAGGCTCACAGTGCATTTTGCCCTTCACTCGTCCCTACAACCAACATCAGGAATGGAGCCCACGCGACGCGCTCACACCAGGAGGGAGCTGAGATTTACGACCCACATCCAGATAGATGGCAAACAGCAGAGAAATGCTCCTGGTATGCTGAGGAATGGACCTGCCATTGAGGAGCTTGGAGAAAAAGGTGAAAATACGCGAGGTGGGAGTAAGATGGAGATATATGGGGACGGGGCTGGGAGGATTTCCATCCTGCGCCGCGTCCATCTGCCTTCCCACCGCTGACACTGGACCACACGAGCGCTAAAGCGCGGGGATGCTGTTAGTGTTATTGCCACGCTTCCCAGCCTGAGCATCACCGTCCCAATGGGAAGAGCCCAAGGAAACGCCAGCCCCAGGCACCTTCCCAGCCCCATCCCGCAGTGCTATGGGCACGCAGCCCCGGTGCTGCCCCCGCGGTGGCAGCCGGTGGCCGGGTGGGACGCGGTGCGGGGGCTCACCTGTGGCAGGGCACTGCGGGAGCCCAGCACCAGGCTGCAGACGCTGGTCGGTGCCTCCGTCCGGCGTGCTGTCACCCTCACCAGCCTTGGGGGAGTCCCCGGTGTCACCGCCAGCAGCCTTTGCTCACCATCCTGGGCTGGTGGCTGCAATGAGACCCGGGACATAGAGGTGGGTAGGGGAGGGCTGCGAGCCCCTGGGATGCATACAGGGCAGGGAGACCCCGCTGTTGGCTGTTGGTGGATGATTTTAGGTCCCTTCCAATTCAACCCATTCTATGTTCCAGCAGTGTGAGATGTCTCTGTGCATCTCTGGGGAAAGAAGGAGGGATGTGATGGTGTCCGTGTGCTTGGGCAGGCGGACCGCACTGCTGAGAAAGGGTCTCTTGCAGCCCCAGAAAACTAAATAGGATCCTGGTGTCTGTAGCTACAGAAATAAGTCATAAACCCGCTGAAAACTCATCCAATGCCATAGACCAGATCCAGAGCTGTGAGGTAAGGATTGGAGCAGGCCTGGAAAAGCAAAACTGCCCCTACCCCATCAAGGCAATTCAATTTGCTTTTGTGCCTGTGAGACAACTCGGAGCCTATTGCTCAGTCGCTGTCTCTCTGCCTGGTATTGCTTAAAAGACTGTTGGAAATTAAAGAGAATGCAAATAAGAGACGTGGAAGTTATCAGAGAACTGGAAAAAATCCTGAAAAAGGAAACTTGAAAGGCCTAACTTCAGTTATCAAAAGCAGCTTGCAAGGTAGCTCAATCAGAGCCCCAGTAACCCACAGCAGAAAGCAGAGCTAGAGCTGAAGTCGTTTGCATTAGGAATAATTCAATTAACGCTCATGAATGAGAGATGTTGCCTAATTATTGAGGCAAGCTGTGACAGAGGAGGTGTGGAAACACGCTGCTGGCATTGGAGCCGATGCCAAACTGTCCCCTTTGCAGGGAATGGAGCGGCTCTTACCTCGGGGGGGCCGTGGGGCTCTCTGGGGCTGAGGTGCTGGGCTGTGCCACGATGCACTGCTGGGCTGGGAGGCTGCAGGGGTGCTGAGCGCAGTGTGAAGTCGTAGAATTCGTGGATATCTGCAAAACAGCACAAGAAACATCATCAGGAGTGGGCAGAAAGTGTAGTGCCAGTGCCCTGCATTGGGTGCAGGGTCTGCAAGTGCCCCCTCCCAACTCTGCCAGGAGCATCATCCCCTCTCCATCCGACCCACGGGAAGCAGTGCAGGAAGCAGTGGGGCTGCTGCACTTCCTAATGGAAACATGCAGCAGCCCCAGCCCAATGCTGCAGGAGCAGCAAATCTCACATCGCCGCGTTTAAGTGTTTAATTTCAGAAGGGAAACTACAGAAAAAGTGAGAAGATCTTCAGAAAGAAACTGGAAGGGGTGACAAAGAGGGTGGGAAGCAGCAAAGCCTATTTAAAGGCTCTGCATCGTGACATCAGAGCACGCGTGCAGCGTCGGTTGGTGGATGTTACATGGCAAAAAGGAGGAAAGCACTGCAGGAAAAGGGGGCTTTGAATGGGAAAAGGTATGCTCCTAAATAGCTGAAACCGTGTTCAAGTGAGAAAACCAGAGAGGATGGTAAATGCTGCCAGGTTAAATGTACCACGCCAAGAGGTCGGCTGAGGGGGTTTGGTGAATGTCTTGCATGCAGCATGGCAGAGTCATAAATCCTGACAGCACACGGGAGACTGGAGGCGGTCAGGGCTGCGGGGCCAGAAAGGGGCTGGGCGGAAAGAAGCACTCAGAGGGAGGAAAGCCACAGTAGGGAAAACAAATTCATTTTCTGTGTTTGCTGCAGAGGAGCCTGGGGAGCTCCTCCGGTTTACTGGGCATGGTGGGGATGGGTTGGAGCGGGTGGGTTTAAGTGGTCTTTTCCAACCTTAATGGGTCTGGCTACTTTGATTCTGCAGCAGCCCCAAAGGGAACCAAAGGCTCCAGAGAGTTTGTCAAACCATCTTTAACAGATTTTCCAGAATCTGGTGCTTGGCAAAGGGTGCCCTGCAAGAAACCCAGCGGCCAGAGGAAGAGAAAGGAGGGGTGCACAGATGCCAGTCCCCAGGTGCACCTCTGATGGCAAAAGCTGCCCCTGAAGTTGTCAGCCCTGAGGTTACAGCCAATGTTCATCCCACAGCCGGACAGACAGACTTTGTTTTTGTGCAAAAACATCTCTCCCTCTGCTTATGAAAATAGTGCTTGCGTAACAGGGCTCCTGGCTGCGTGGATTACACTTGGAATGCACCAGAGTTCCCGAAAATGAACACAGGATTTGGATGGCTCCATCACAGGAGAACACCACTGCTGGTGTCCCTGTCTGAGGCAAGAATGACACAGTGGGGCAATGGGGAGCCTTGGGGACGGGGTGCTGGGAAGCCCCACGTTCCGCCTTACAGGCTGGTGCCCGTTTGTTGGCAGTGTAAATCCCCTCTGAATCCAGTAAGGAAGAGCAACTCTAACACTTTCCTCCTAGGCTCCCTGCATCAAACAGATGAACCTTTTGTTAGGATGCAAGAGGCTGTAGGGAAAGGAGGCTGTAGGGGAAGGCTGTAGGGGAACAGCATCCAGCAGAGCAAAGCCACAGCAACACAGCACCCAGCCCCATGCACGCTGCATCCCCAACAGCCCAGGAGCAGAGTCTGAGTTCACAAAGCAGCTTATTTCTAAAGAAGTGCCCTGGAGGCCCCACCCCTTGCATTTTTCATGTGGAACAACATGTGAAGCACCGTGCCATTTGGCACTTCCAGTAGCTCTGCTACCAGTAAACACGCTTTGGTGCTCAAGCTTAACATACGTCTTAGGAGAGCATTACCTGCAGAAGCACAAGTTGAAGATGACTGTGTATCAGCCTCATGTGTTTGCCTAACTGTGCCTCCTCCCCCCCCCAAAAAAAAAACACCAACCAAGCAGGTGCTGCTGAGAGCACAGGAGAGAACAGAGGCAGCAGCACCCCGTGCCATGGGAAGGGGAGCACAGGTGCAGGCGTAGGCGCAGCACACCCTGCAAACACCCTGACCCAGCCCTGCAGCTCCAAGCAAACTCCCGAGGTACAGCAGCCCACTGGGAGAAGGGTGGGTGAAAAGCAGATGGAATAGGAGCACTTTGCCCTCCACACGTCAGTGTCACTCATCCCTGTGCGCCCATGGGGATGGGGCTGAGGACACCGAGCGGTCCACGTGTGAGCAGTGAGCTGCAGCATCACGCAGGGCTGCACAAGAACAGAGGAATTCACAAACAACGCACTCAAGGGACGGGGGAGGAAGCAATTAATGCAAATTCCTCGTTAGGTAAACACATCAAGTGAAAGCTGGCTCTGTCCCGGGAACTAATATCCTGCTCAACCAGTTGAAAAGGTCACCAGCAACCAAGTGGCACTCCCTGGTGTTGGTTGGTGTGGACAGGACAGCGGGACCGCTGTGCCACCTCCCTCCATGTGACACCAAGCACAGACCTGACCCTTCCAGCTTTATTCTCCCCACATCACTTCTGTGCTTTAATGCATAAATCCTCTGCTTTGTGCCTTTATTGCAGCCTTGGTTACACTGGGATCACCTCCGACATAGCTCCAAAATTTATGTCCTATGAGAAACCATGCAGCCAGGAGTGGGTCTGCTCCAGCCAGGAGCACCCATTGACTGCAATGCCCCAGAGAACAGCAGGAAGGGGCTTACCCAGCAGAGCCTGGAATAGTTCGCTTTGGAAGATGTGTGAGATCTTTCCAATGGAGGCTTTCAGCTCCTGTTCCTCTGGGGAACGCAGGGTGCTTTGGTATCTCGTCAGGATTTCCACTGCCCGTTCGGTGTCTGCAGAGGGGACACAGGAATAACACAGCATTAATGCTGGGAGATGGACAGAAATCCTCTAGGAAAGCTTGAGCGCACCCTTGAGTGTGCCAAGCTCATCCATGCAATGCCTTCATTGCTCTGGACTTTTAAGAGCTGGACAGATGCTAAAGCAGCTTTTCTATGCAAGTGTCCCTGCAGGCAGCCCAAGAACCACTGCTACCTCCCAGACAGAGGAGCTTTTGGGAGCTGGACACATCCCCATTGCACAGGGCTGTGTGACCCCTAGGAACACGTGCTCTGCCACGCAGGTCCAGATGGTCACAGCAGAGATGAGCAGAGTGGGCTGTGCAAGTGGGGCAGCTGCAAAGACATTGCAAACAGCTCAGCTCCACGGGCAGAAAAACTTGCAGTTCTACAAGGTGAAGGGTGAGAATTTCTCCATGCAATGAAGCCTTAAGTCAGTGGGAAATGCATCCGGGAAGGAGGGATGCTGGCCAGGAGGCTGCTGTGACCAAGCTCCCCAGAACTGTAGGACAACCTTAGCTTTAAAACAATGGGGCTACGAGCTCCCTGCACCAGGATAGCTCTGTTCTTTTCTGGCCAACTCAGTTCCATAGCTGGGCAAAATCCAGCACCAACCCCAGATGTGACCCATTACAGATGGGTGGGGAGCTCCCACGGACCTTGAGCCCGTCCCAGCCCTACTGCTGAATATTTCCCTTTGTCACCCCAGCAGTCCACAGACAAAGGGAGTCTGTGTGAGGCGGCGGGGGAGGCGTCCCGCTGCTGTTGGAAGCTCATCTTTTGACCCAGGAACTCATGCAGAAAGGATGGTCCTGCTTGTCTCGGGGCTCTCAGCGGGGAATTCAGGTCACCAAACAAGGGGGTCTGTGTCTGCCAGGGCGCGTGCCACCTGCTGTCCCAACTCATTCTGCTGGGGTCCAGCCTGTGTCACCAGGCCACACTGACTCATCTCTGGAGCAGAAGAGAAAGGAGCCAGGGGAAGCATGAATCGCTCCTGCTCAGAGCTAGGCTCCGCAGCAGCTTTGGGAAGAACAGGGACTTTCCAGGACTCCACCTTCACTGAGCTTTACAGGCATTCCAGCCCCATATTGGTACCGAGGACTTTTTTTCTCTGCAGCATCAGACAACGGCTCCAGCCAATGCCCAGCATCCTGTGAGTCATCTTCATCGCTCATCCCTGACCTCATCAGCAGAGCCTAAAGAAGCAGGTGGAGAACTACAGCTACCACACTGAGACACAGACTGGACAAAGTGTGACCATCTCACCCAGCCTGAGCTGTGCAGGAAGAACAGCACGCATCCTGCCGGCCCTCATGGTGGGTGACACAGGAACAGGGAGCTCCGGCCCTGCATACCAAACCCAGAGGACAGCCTGAGCATCACAGCACCTGTAGGAGCGCACCCCTCTTACAGAGGGTCCCTCCTCACCTGACCCACACACCTCCCTACCCACACAGCACCCCATAGCCAACTGCTACAAGGACGCACCCCACGTTCCCGGGGAGGGCACACAGCCGGACTCCCCACTCCACAGCTCTCCATCCTGCGGGAGCCGCAGCCGCTATCCCAGCACAGCCCGCTCACGGTGCGGCGGGGCGGACACTTGTTGAGCTCTGCGGGTCGCGGTTCCCGGAGCTGCGGGCGGGGCGGGGCAGGGCTGGGCTCTCCTTACCTTCCCTGCGGATCATCGCTCCGCCGTGGCCGGCGGCCGCTCCGCTCGGTGCCAACCCACGAGCGGCCGAGCCGCCGCCTGCCCCGCCCAGCAGGAACCGTGCTAAGAGCCGCCCCCACCCGCCCCCACCCCCACCCCCGCTCCTCCCCCCGCAGCGCCCCGCAACCCTTCCAGCACCGGGCCGTTTCGTTGCGAGTTTCCCCCCCCCACCCTGGCTATCCGTTGCCTCGGGCCGGCCCGATTCTGCGCCCCGCAGCCGGTCCGCTCCCCGTGGCGGAGGACCCCACTCAGAAGATGCCTCCGCTCCCTCCGCCCCGACGGCGCTTCCCCACGCCGGCACTAGGTGGCACGGATACACCGCGAATCGCTGCTTTGCCCCGAGCTGGGAAGGGAAAACTGAGAAGGGGAGAGGAAAGAGTTATGCCGAACTCGCCGCTGGTAAAGGACCGTCTATCTCTCAGCTGATTTATTGACATAAATAGGCAGGAGCAAGTGAAACAGACTCCCCTCTCCAAGTTCAAAGTGCCCGATGCTGAGTAACAGTGCTCCCGACCCTGGTGCAGCCCCTGCCGCTGTGCAGCACCGTAGGGGCACCGTGGCCCAGGTTCCCTCCACCCCCAGCCCCCGCTCCCCACGACTGGCTGCGGGGGGAGCGGGCACCCCAGCCAGCAAGCACAAAGCCAGCAGCAGGAGGGGGCAAAGCTCTCATCCCCAGCACTGGGAACAAAGGGCTCTGCTCCCCGTCCCTCACGTGCCAACCCTGCACCTCCCTTCCTATTCACCTCCCACCCCTGGGCAGCAGCACTTTAAACAAGGTTTCCCCATCACCAGTGCTGCTGCTGACAGCAGGCTGCCATACCCCCGCACCAAACAGTGACTCAGATCCCCACCAGCCTCCAACCGAGCACCCCAGGGCTGAGGTCTTGGTCCTGGAGAAAAGTTCAGCTCTCAGGACACAAGGCAGCAGCAGCAGCCGCCCCCTGCCCCAGCTCTGTTCCCTCGCTGCCTGCAGGAGCAAGAGACCCAGTTCCAGGTCTTCACGGATGAGTAGTTCTGCACCACATCAGGAGCCAGGAAGGCTGCAAGCTCAAGAAGCTGCAAAGGAAAGGAGCCTTGGATCCAGCCTGGGTAGCACTCCGTGCCTGAGCTGTGAACCTCTCCAGCTGCCCCTCCCCATGGCTGCTGCAGGCTGGAGGGGTCAGTCTTGCATCAGGCTGTTGATCTTTGTGAGCAGCACGTCCGTCTCAGACTCTGGAGAGAAAGAAGAGAAAGCAAACAGTCATTGACTGCAGCCACCACCCCGTAGCGGCAGGCACACCTGCCCAAAAAGCTGGTTGGAGCAGAGTTGGGGAGTATGGGCATCCTCAGCACCATGCCACAGGACAGTTTGCTGAGGGCAGGGCAGGAACTCCCTGCGTTGGGATTCCCTTCCCTCCCTCAGCCATCTCAAAGTCTGCAGGGCTCAGTCATGCTCCATTGGGGCAGGCTGGCTGCCTGCAGGGAGCCTCCAGGGACAGAAGAGCCGGCGTCTGTGCACTCACCAGCCGTCCGCCTTCGCTGGGAGCATTTCCTAGGAGATGGAGCAGGATCGATGTTAGCACGTCAGTCTGGGCACCCCCTCCTCCTTCCCTCCCACGAGCTCCCAGCTACAGACTGCAGGGCCCCACAGCAAACAACTGTTTGCTCCTGGTATGTGGTGCTGGGGCAGAGCAAGGTCCCCTAGCCTCAGCCCTGGGGTGCACAGGAAACTGGTGAGTGCAGCTGCTTCGGGAAGGGCCAGGCCACGCTTTTAGCAGTGGTGTGGTGCTAAGAGCTGCCTTTATGCAGTGATATTTCTCCCAGCCAGGGGGCCTCAGGACATCAGCCCAGGGTGGGTGGCAGCAGATGGCACATGCATAGGGGTTCACCAGCCAGTGCACCCTGCAGCCTCCCAACAACTACCCCAGGGGTCCAACTTACTTCATCAAGAGGAAGGCCCAGAGGATCATCAGGAAGGAGACACAGTCTACAACAATCCAGATCATGAGGTACGTGCTGCTGGGCTGCAAGGTGACAAGCCAAGTGTTAAGCACCACTGCTGGCACAGTCCTGTACACAGCAAGGTCTGCAAGGTCACACTGCCACACCAGCACAGCACAGAGTAAAGCCCACCCTGCATGCAGCTGCAGGACCAGACCCACAACTCAGGCAAGGAAGCTTCGCACTAGGACAGAGGTTTTGCTTACCAGCAACCAGATGGGGTGTTTCATCTCCTTCAGCACCTGGCAGGCATTGGTGGTGACAGAACTCACCCCTGAGCACCACAGCACAGAGAAGAGCCAGGGCTGGTTCACCACGTACAGGTTGACTGAGATGTTGTCCTGGCGGTACTGCCTGCGCAGGGAGAGCCGTGGTCAGCATGGCAGACAGCGAGGTGCCAGCATGCTCAGCTCGTGGCAAAGAGGCCTGCATGTCTGGGATGCGATCCAGCAATTGCAGCCACGTAGAGCAACTGTCTGGAGAGCCAGACCCAGGGCAGACTTGCTGGCCAGAGAGAGAGCTGCAGCCTCCATCCCCCATAGCAGCTCTGGGGCATGCCAGGCTGCAGCCTCAGCCCTGGGGGGCCTCGCTTCTGTTGGACCCCAGACTCGTAGCCCACTCCCCTTCCCAGGCTCTCACTTGATCTCCTCAGAGCTCATGTCTTGGTAGGGCAGGTTGACATGCAGCAGTGGCTCCTTCTCATCCTGGAGTCTCTTCCGGCCGTAAATCTGCTGAACGCCTGGGACTTGTTGTTTGACCTGCTCCCTGAACCCATCTGGCAGCCACAGGACCTGGGCAAGAGCCAGGGAATGTGTGTAAGGAAGAGACACTCCAGGGCTCTGCAGACACTGCCCCACTCCCAGACACACTGGATGTCAGGCTGGACCAGGCCCTGGGCAGCCTGTTTGAGCTATAAGTGTCCCCGTTCAGTGCAGGGGAGTCAGATTAGATGACCTTTAAGGGTCCCTTCCAACTCAAATGATTCCATGGCTCTATGATTTTCCTGGAGGATTTCAGCCAGGGCAGTCCAAGAACTCATCCCAGCCAAGAAGCAAGCACAAACCCCACTGAAAGGAGAAAGCAACTCCAGCCTAAGAAAGCCACTGCAGGGCACTGACATCATCCTGGGTCCCTGAAGTATTGAACAGAGCACACTTTTGGCCACAACTGCAGCAAGAATGCACCGCAGGCCAACATTACAGTACTGTGCCCTGAGTTCCCACAAGGAAAGCAATTTGGGTGCTCCTCCAGCCCTGCAGGGTAGCATGTGCCTCATGCTGCTGAAGCCAACGAAGTACAAAGGAAACTGAGGCAGCTGCAGCAAGTCAAGGAACTGCACAGAGAGGTGTGGTGCAGCACAGGGAGCATCGATTTCATGCACTTGTACCCATGCTCCCCTCCCTTGGCTGAGTGAGTCACTGTTTACGTACCAGAGTGGCCAGTTCTCCGAAACAAGTATTTGCAGCTTTATGTACTACCTCCAACTCTTGGCAAGTTCTCCCAGCTAGAGAACCATGGGATCTCTTTCAGGACTATGCTACCATGCCAAGGACTGGTCATCAGCTGCTTATGGGGTTGTCGTACAACAGGATGGCCGAGCAGGAAGCACAGATGGCAATGGGGTGTGTGGGGAGATAGAGATGCTCAGTGTGACAGCAGGATGCAGCTCACCTGCTGCAGTGGGATGCCAGACTGTAGGATGACTTCCAGGGTGGCATTGACAAAGCTCTGGTAATCGCTGTGGTTCTCTGGCCGGAGGTCAAACATGATGGAGATATTGCTCTCCTTGGCTGCATCCAATACCTGTTCCAGGGATGGGATCTTCTGCCGAGTCGCCTGCACGCGATCGCCATGTGAAAGACTTTGCACGCTGGAAAATGGTCTCCTCTAGGAGGGAAAGAGAGTCAGCCACCATGGGCAGAGCCTGCGTGCCTCCACCTCCCACCAGTGCTGCTCCAACCTCCCACCACGGGATGAGCACAGGGCACCTCTCCCCTCCTGCCCACTAATAGCACTGATCCAGCAGCCCCAGCGCCTCTGGGCATTCAGCAGTTCTTTAGTCACTGAACAGCATTGCCCCAGCCACATCCATGCCCAGGCAGGCTGTGCAGCTCAGCGTGAGCACCAGCAGGGCATGAGACATCTCCCCACAGCCCAACCTCCCTGTGACTCAGAGCAAACCCCAGGTGCAGCAGCCAGCACAGGGTGTAACTGCACCCCAGGGATCCATGCAGGCATGAAAGTGCTCCTTTACACTGCTCAGGTGACTGCAGAGGGAGCAGAACACAGGGCAGGGCTCTTGTTTTACTCCCCTCCTCCCCCCCCCCAGTGCACCCATCCCTGCACCCTGACCTCCAGGAACCAGCTGCCAGCATTGAGCTGCTGGAGGTCTGTCCAGTTGAAGGCAGTGCTGTTCAGGGTGGCTCTCTCAGGGAACACAGTCTGCACATTGGTGGTCCTAGTGAGCTTCTCATCATGCATGAGGAATGGGACCCCATCAGCACTGGCAAGAGAGCAGAGAAGGAGGTTGTATCACAAGCTGTTTGCCTCTTAACACTGCCCTGCCATTTCTAACCTCTCCCAGCCACTTTCTAAAAGTAACTTCCACCCCAAGCCTACTGCTGAGTTTTTGCACAAGAGAGATCAGCCTCCAGGAAGCAGAAAGCACCAAGAAGCCAAGCCAGGAATCACACAGCTTCTTGCTCCCTGCAACAGGAGGATTGCATGAGATGAGGGCCCAGGGGCTGCTCTCCAAGTAGTGCCCTCCCCCCCAAGTGGTGCCTCCTTCCTAATGGCCTGGAAGGCAGCCTGGGTGAACAGGAGAAACCCAGCACCTTCCCCAGCTTTCTGGGACACCCAGCTACAGCCAGGGCCATGCTGGGGAGGCGATATTGGCAGAGCCCTTGAACAGGGCAGACTCCAAATGAAGACTGTGCCAGTCCTGCAGGCGCCCACATGGAGAGTGACATCCCAGGACACACAGGCCCCTTCCTCCCTCTGAGTCCTGTTGCCCCTTTACCTCACCATGACGTCTGTCTCAAAGACTT